AAGTCTTCGGGAGCCAGGGATTTAGCTCGGTACGCAGTTCCTGCTCAGCAAGCTCAAAGCTCTGAGTTCTAGTCCCAGTACCAAAAAAACTCAAAGCCTTCGGGGATTATCCAAGAAACCTGAATTGCCGTTTATTTATTCAACTCATGATCCATTTCTCTACACTAACACGAGTCAGCTCATGCACACAAACTGACTTCAGCTAAAGATAACACATCTCAAAATCCTGGCACCCATCACCCTTCCTCCAGAGAACAGCTTGACAAAAGCACAAGAGAACTCAATCAAACACAACCTCAGTCTAATGCACTCTGACTGCCAGCTCTGTGACAGGCACTGGGACAGACACTGGGGTCTGGACAAGGGGCCTACCCCAGCCTCTACAGGTGTGAGCCTGGAGGTCAGGAGATCTAAATGTGGAATTCTCTGAGCATCAGTTTCCAAATGTCTCAACTATGGCCAAGGTCAATGAGACTCATCCAATCATAAGCGAGAATGGTTTTACAGCTACAGAGGATGCAGGGCAAGGTGGAAGAGAAGCAGCATGTATGACTATTGGGCAGAAGTTCTGCTTCCCACAGTGGCTGCAACAGCTGGGCACTGAAGCTGCTAAGGCCGCACAGTGGCACACAGTGAAGCAGCAGCAGAGCCCACTGAGCGAGCATTCACCCCGGGCCTCCCATGGTCCAAGTGCTCAGTATGGCATTAGAGACCCAAAGCTGGCAAGGACATGGTCATCTCTGTTTGTCACCTGTCCCACTCAGCTCAGCAAGCAGGACAGATTCAGCAAGAAGGATGCATCAGGGGGCCGAGGCATGTCCTGGAAGCCAGCTGGGCAGCTTCTCAGAGGCCAGGATTGCTAAACAGAATCCTGACTGATTAGGACCTGCCGCAGAAAACCAAGGGGCAAGGCCATGGAGACAGGCAGACCCACCCATGCAGAGAGCAGCATGTTGTCACCATCCGGGTAAGACCACCTGGGCTGCAAGAGGCTGGGACAATGGAAGCAAGGCCTGGGGCCAGGCACAGAGGCCAGAGAAGCAGAGCGCCTCCAAGCCTCCAGGAGGATGACCAGGAATCTGCGCAGCGCTCTTTCACTCCCCTGGCCTAGGATCAAACATGGATCACAGCCCAAGCTGCCCACAACACACAGCTGGGGCAGAAAGGATCCCTGCTGTTTTAGTTTGTGTCCAGTTGTTCCCCCAAAGCTTCATGCAGTCATGGGGTAGCTTCTAGAATTTGTGATTAATTCATGAGCCAATGCTGGGATTATGGGTGTGAGCGCTATTCTTGCCCTGGGCGGGTAACCTGCACTGCAACGCGAGGAAAGGAGAGGCTTAACTTGGCCACTGCTCCTCCCTTCTGCTTTTGCCCTTTGCTGTTTTCCACTGCAATGACTGCCCTCTGCCATGTGGCACTCTGACTTGGATCCAGCTAAGTATGGACTGAAACCTTCACAAACTGGGAGCTAAGCTGGGGGTTTGATCTCACCGCCTGCTGTGCCAGCCCCACCCCCAGGGCGTGCTGAGACAGCAATTGAGACTGGGCGTGGTGGTGCACACCTGTAATCCCAGCTCTTGGGAGGCTGTAAACAGGCAGATCACTCCGAGTCTGATCTAGTAGTGAGGCCCTGAACACCCTGTAGACCCTTCCCTAAAATACAAAAAAAAAAAAAAAATAGTCTTTCCGTCATTTTGGGTGTTAGGTATTTTATCCCAGCAATGAGAGAATACCCAAGACACCTGCAGCCTCTAAATGGGGTCTCTGGCTCATGATCTCTGTCAGCTGTGATGCCCACGTCAGGCTGGGAAACTCCAGCCCCAGGAGCTGAGCGGTGTCCCAGGTGACAGAAAGGACAGTCTCTTACTTTTTACTCGTTGCTGGGACAAATACCCGACACTCGAAGGAAGGAAAGGTTTATTTAGCTCACAGTTACTGGAGGGTTCAGTCCATATTCCGTTGGCTCCAAGGCAAACGACAGCAGTTCATGCAGCAGAAAACAATGAAGAGCAGAGGAGCAGCAGCAGCTGTGGCGTCCATCAAGCCTCTCTCTTCCTTATGCGCTGACTGCGAAAATCAGAGCTTCTCCAGAGTGGCGCAGCTGCAAAAATCTAGCTCCTCCAAAGATGGACTTCTCCACGGAAGCGGGGCTGGGCGGCAGGAAACCAGGCAGGGTGGCTTCCTGCCTTTCTCAATTCCTGGGCCCTGCCCACCTGCCCGGCGAGGCCCCCATGCTGAGAACTGCCGGAGCTGATTCAGCCAAATTGACACAAGGTATCAACTAACACAGACAGTACGTGACTTGCTGGGACAAATTCCAAGGGCGGCACTGATATTGTAGGGGAGAGAAGCCCACATACCAAGGATGCTGAACTCACCTGTGTATCCTGAAGCCACAGGAACTGCAGGGTGGCAGGACACAGCTTTTTACTGCTGCCCCCTGTCTTGACCACCTGCTGGCCCACAAAGGCAGAAGCCAGATGGTGGAACTTCCTCACAGATGGCCCTTCCGGCATCCCTGGGGAGAAATTGGCAAAGGAGGCCACTACTTGCCCTATTTGAGGGTGCCAAGCTCCAAGCAGCCATTTTCTGCACCAACTTTAAGAGCACATAAGACCACGCTGCGCATGGTGATACTCACTTGCAATCCCAGTTACTGGAGAGGGTGAGGCAGGAGATCAAGTCTGAGGCCAGCCTGTGCAACTTAGAGAACCTGCCTCAAGATGAAAAGGGAGGAGCTCACTGGTAGGGCACTGGATTCCAGACCTCCTACCACATTAAGCCAAAAAAGTATACAGGGCCAGGAAGAGCGGCTGTGGCAGGAGCTGGAAGGAGGGCATCCCATCCTGCTCCTCCGCCTTTATTCATGCCGCAGACACCAATGGTGCGCTAGGGGTCACATGGCTACTGCTTAGCTCGCGGCCACCGTGGAGAGCAGCCCTTGTTACTCCTCTGGGCTTTCTGCCCTCCTGCCCCACTCCTCCAAGCACCTACTGTACCCCTCGGGCCTGGACCCCAGGGCCAGCTCTCGGGTAGGGGCATGTGCGTGAGTCCGCAGGACTCAGAACCAAACAAGTGCAGATCTCAGCCGGGCCGCTTCCCGGCCGGAAGCGCAGCTCCAGCTTGACCATAGTTATCCCTGACCACGGGGATGCAGCAGTGTCACGAGGGGTGAACCGCGCCGGGGAGGCCCCGTGCACCCCTCTTCTCGGGGCTCCCCGTCCCATGCCTTTACCCAGGAAACCACTGGGCAACCGGCCTCCTCAGCAAGCAGCCAAGACGCCCAGCAGCCGTGAAGATAAGGGGCCCACCTGGCAGGTGGGCGCTGTGACCTCGGTGACGCAGGCCCCGTCGAAGGCCGAGGTTCGGCTGCGCGCCGGGCTTCTCGGGAGTTCGGAGCCGGGACGCGCAGCACCGCGAGGTCGCCAGGGGGATCCTAGGGGGAGGCCGCCTCCACGAGCGCGGAGCCCGGCGTGGGGGCGGGGCTCGGAGGGGGCGGGGCACCGTGCTCAGCGGGGAAACGCAGCTGGGGAAGGGCACGTGTCCTCGAGAGACGCGCACTTTCTCTGTAATTGGGTTTTCCGGGTGAAAACAGGCGTGACGTCACGGCGCACGTGCGTGGCGCCCGGGGGCGGGCGGGGCACACGGGCTCCTCCCCCGAGTGGGCGGGAGGCTCTGTGGGGCGGTGCGGACTCCGCCTCCTGGCGGGCGCGGCGCCCTATCAATCCTTGTATGCTCCGCCCCCTGGTGGGCGTGGTGCTATCCTGGCGCTCCGACTCAGTCCCGGATGGGCGCGGCGCTCCGGCGGGCCCCGCCCCTGGGTGGGCGTGGCGTTCTGTGGCGTCTGGGTGCGGGCGACGCCGGCTCTCTCTCCCGGGCTTTGGAGGCTGGGCCACTAGGGGTCGCTGGAGGAGGGTGGGCTCCAAGGCTCCTCCCCCGTAGCACAGTGCCAGGATCCCCTCTAAATACTTAGCCTGAGACACAAGGATCCCCTGGCCTTTGCCACTCTCCGAAGCAGCCCCAGACGTCCTTTTTCCTGTCCTGGAGTTGCACTGTCGTGGCTGCCTCGGTGTCCTGAGTCCAATCAGAGCGTTGACCTCTCAGGGTCACCTTGACTCTGGTGAACAAAGACACGCTTCCTGTGTTTATTTGACAGAAATTGCCATAAACATTTGAGTCAATTTAGGACCTTGAGGAAGCCCCCAAAAGGGACTTTCACAACTGCTTGGGGACAGGTGTGTTTGGAGTGAGGGGCAGGATTTTAAGTGTGATTCATAACAATGTGAAATATAGTATTTTACTATAATAATTTAATAGTCACCGTAATGTTTTTTCACACTGTATTATGGTGCAAGACACACTTGTCACACATATTGCATCATTATTAGCTGTGGAATACAGCAAGTCGGCGTCTTCGAATCTAGTCATTAAAAGGGCTATTTCTTGGTGCTGTAGATGTGTTACAAAGCCACACTCTTCGAACCTTACTGTGCAAACAAGTCACCTAGGAACCGTGTTTAAGCGCAGGTTTGGACTCAGGTCAGCGGCAGGGCTCGGATTTTGGCTTCCCACACCCTCCCGGGTGATGCTGATGCTACCAGCCAGGGCTTCAAGGACCGTGCGTGGTAGAGTTAGACACTCAGTTCATTAGTTGAATGAGTGACTAAATGAGATATTAGGAAACACACAAATTGTAAAGTACTTAGGCCCAGGTCAGGCAGGGGGCTCTAGCTTGTAGTTTTCTGTTCCTTTGGAGATTTAGGGATAGGGTGTGAAGCCTGGACTCTGGGTTCCGATAGTTTGCAGATACTAGACCTGTTATTATAGGCAGCTAAGTTAGTTAAAAATATTATAAGCAGTTAGACAGGGCTAGGCCATCAGATAAGTCAGAAGATAAGAACCTGTTACAACTGGGGCCAGAGCCACATTCCTTAAAGGCCAGGCCTCAAGGCAAAGACAAAATGAGGGCACCTACGTGGTGCCCTGAGGGGTAAACACTGATGATTGCTATTCTAGAAGAATTTTTTTTTTTTGGCCTGCTCAGGATGCCTTAAGGGAAGGTCTGGTAAAGCCTGAGGGTCAAACCACAGGATCCTGAGCCTGCTTTGTTTAAGCAGGCACTTAAACAAGTGAGCTAATGGGCAGGCCCCGATGATTGCTATTGTTAATGGGCACCAGTCGGCTGCAGTGGGGACCAGGCCCTCCTGACTCATCCCTCCTAGGAAGTCCTTGTTCTTTCCACGCACACTGGCCACGTGGGATCAATATTACCCACTGGATCAATATTACCTAAGTGAGTAGTAATCTTACTGGTTGACCACAGTCTTGTCCCACCTTACACCCATCCCGTGATTTTGCTCTAGGAAACTTGGAGAAGCAGGGTCCTGGCAACCCACTCAGGCCCCCTCCTGCCTCTCAGGAGCCCTACCTCTCCCCCTCAATAGCTATTTCCCACTGTTAATCTCCGTTGATCCCTAAAATTCATTCTTTAACTTTGGAAAATACAAACTGAGCGTATGGAACATCTAGCAGATTGAGAGTTACAACATTTGCCTTCTGTGACTTAAGAGTTCCTTCTATCATTCCTCTATCACTGTGACCTTCACAAGGTAGGGCCCGTGAGCTGTATCTTCAGTGAGAAACGTGACTGTAAGGACGTCTGAATGTTTTCTGCGGCTAGAGGAAGCCATCAGCCGCATCGATTAGGCAGTGCTGCGCAGGAAGCCGCTTTTCATTGGCAACACTTGGGGCTGATTTCAGATAATAGCTTGAAAACGCACGCTGTCGGGGAGGGAGATGGAGCAGGCGAGGAGAGCGCGGGCGCCCCCGCGCGGCGAGCGTGCCAACTGCAAGCGCCGTGCCTGCATCCATTGGCTTCCTCCGGGGATGGGGTCTTTCCTCCCAGCTCTGTGGCTTTGGCAAGTGCACCATGGTGGGACAAGAGAAGATCTCGGAGACCCCCGCCCCGATCTGCAGATGAGAGGGTGTTATCCTAAGCTGGGTTTCCTTTTCCTTAGCAGGTTCAGTTTGCACTGCGTCATTAAACTGTCTGTGCAGGAAACCATAGTGGTACCACGTACCCCGATGCTTAGCAGACCTGTACCTCCTTGGAAGGAAGGGAGTAGCGGAAGTTCCTAGACCTGTCCCTGCACACCATGCAAACAGCTCAGGCTGCATGACCTCCTCGGAGCCGAGAGCAGCTCCAGGATGTCGACAACGCACCTGGTTTCACTGGTTGGCCTCCGAGCTAAACAGGAAGGTTTATTTTGGCCCTGCTTGTGCTACTGAGCACCAGGGCACCTTAGTTTGAGGAACGCGGCCTTGTGGTCCTGATTCCCACAGCCTTAGAGCAGCAGTTCCTAACCAGAGGATTGGAGAAGCTTTGAGTTCACAAGGCCCCAACATGAAGCACATATGCAAGCTCTCCGCTGTGCATACTCTCCTGGAGGGAGCGGACCGCACATATGCAAACCCCTCAGGAGGGAAGAAAAGAATGAGATGTGGGCCCAGACTCACTCGGAACACTGCAGCCAGCCCCAGGCTATTCTGTCTGGTAACCTGCGGTGCCCCACAAGGTGGCAGTGCAGCAGGAGAGGGAGAGGGGATGCCAAAGTGGTGGGGTGAGTTTCAGGGGCAGCTGAGCCCAGGCTTAGCACACTGTCCCCTTCAGTGTCCCAATCAGAGCCCGCAGATGTCACTGCAAGGCTCTTCAGTGGTGTTACTGTTCAGGGCTGACAGGCTTTTCTTAGTGGCAAGTTTCTCTTCTTGTAGGAAGCAATTAGAATCAGGCTGGTGACAGATATGGGTCAAGTGATGTCTTTCTATGTCCCCAAACCACTTGTGGCAAAGAAATAAGAAGCCTGGTTCTCATAGGTAGTCCTGAGCAGGTTCTGACCTGTGCCTTCCGACAGCCACCCCATGGGAGGGTCCATCTCCACGTGGCTGCTCGGAGGACGATGCCTGTTGGCCGTGCGCCCTCTGAGCGTCCCTTCACCTCACCACCAGGGCCCAGTGAAGCTGCCCACGTGTGGAGAACAGGCATGGAGTCTCCAGAAGGAGCTCATGCAACCCTGAAGTGTCAGATTTATAGCAAGAGCTCAGGAACTGCAGGGAGACGTGAACCCCCTTCCCGCAAACTGCGACTCCCAGAGCCAATCCGGTGCCTCTGGACAGTACGCCTCTGCCCTCTCCTGAGCAGCCTTGCAGCATGGCAAGCACCTAGCAGAGACAGCAGGGGCTCCTCACACCTGTAATGGGGGCGCAAGCGCAAGCTCATGTGACCCCCACCATTGCTCAGGCTCCAGGAGACCACAGAGCCCCAGGGCAAGAGGTGGACACTCACTGATGCTGTGGCCCCAAAGCCACCCTGCCGGCCCGTGCCAGTGTGGATGGAGGACACTGCCAGAATTTCCAGTTTGGGGCCCTCTCCTGTTATTTTAGGAAGTCATGGCCCAGACTGGTGTCGACACAGAATCTGTCCCAGGTTTACCAGGGCAGGGACGCAGACACTTACCCATGAGAAACCCACAGGCCACATTTTAGACGTTCAAGGGCCACTATGTGTCCACCTTGTTAATGACCATGCCTTTGCCTTGGGTGGGAACTCAATTGAGTGATGACCCTCTGGTACTTGTGTGCAGAGCAAAACTGTTATAGCTTTTGGCTGTCGTTCTTTTACAAAGTGAGAGCCCAGTGTGGTGGCGCATGCCTGTAATCCCAGCGTTTTGTGAGACTGAGGCAGAAGGGTCAAACCTTCAAGCTCAGCCTTGGAAACTTTAGCAAGATAATGAGAATCTGTTGACAGAGAGAGAGAGAGAGAGAGAGAGAGAGAGAGCGCTTGGTTGCAGCTCAGCGCAGAGACCCAGTACAAAAAAGATGTACAGTTTACGTGCTGTCATGTGTTTCATATATGACACATGAGGAAGTGCTCATGGATTTTTTTAAAATTTGGTACAGGATCTTACGACATAGCTCCCACTCATAGTGATCCTCCTGTCTCAGCCTCCTCAGCACTGAGATTACAGGTGTGTGCCACCACACAGGGTTTCAGGGCCAGTACGGCATGCAGTACCGGGGATCAACCCGGTCCTTGCATTTGCAAATGCAGGCACTTAGACCACTGAACTATCTCCCTAGTCCTGGGAGATGTAGATATATATTACGTATACATATTATATATATTATGTATATATATTACATATGCAGGTCTGCTTTATTTCACTTATGGATATAGTCTTTAGTTGCAGCCATTTATCAATCAAACCCTCAAGTTTATCTTTTTTATAGCTGAGCAATACTCCATTGTGTTAAATTTCACCTTTTTTAAAAAATCCATTTCTCAGTAGATGGGCATTTGGGTTGTTTCCAGGACTTAGCTATGACAAATTGCACGGTTATTAACATGGGCACATATATATCACTGTGGAGTGATGTTTTCAGTTCTTTTCAAAAAATACCTGAGGGGGGGATAGCTGGGTGAAAGGGGACCTCCGATCCTAGCTTTTTGAGGAATCTCCACACTGACTTCCAAGTGGTTGCACCACTCTGCAGTCCCCCAGCAGTTGAGAGGGTCCTTTTGTCTCGCAGCCCCTCCAGCATGTGTTACTGGCTGACTTCTTGATGCTAGCCATTCTTTCTGGGGTGAGACGGAATCTCAGGTTGTTGTAACTTGCTTTTCTCTAATGACAAATGATGTTGAACATTTTTTCACATATTTACCTGCCATTTGTATTTCTTCATCTGTGAAGTGTGTGTTTATCTCAGATGCCCTTTTTGGATTGGGTCCTTTAATTTTGTTTATTTATTCATTTATTTTTGGCAGAACCGGGGGTTGAACTCAGGCCCTTGCACTTGCCAGGCAGGCACTTATTCTACTGAGCCATCTTGGCAGGCCCTTGAGTCCTTGAATTTTAGGGGCCTGATTTTTCCCCCCTTAATTTTATTGAGAAACAAATAGCAATGAGACAGTTTAAAACCAAATTGGTAGGACAGTTTCAATAATTAACACATTGCGCACTGGGGAGATAGTTCAACAGTCCAAGTGCCTGCCTGGCAAACACAAGGACCCAAGTTCAATCCCTGGTACCACATACTGTGCTGGCCCTGGAACCCTGGGCACACTGAGCCAGCGACTGAGGCCGGGTGCGGTGCACACCTGTAATCCCAGCATTAGGGAGGCTGAAACAGTAGAATCACTACGAGTCTGAGCTGCATGGTGAGACCCTGTACCAAATAAATAATTTAAGTACAAAAATAAAAAAAAATAATTAACACATCGCATACATTCTTCCTAGTGGTTAATTGCTGTACAAGATGCAGACATGATATCCTATTTACAAGCACTATTAGAACAAATCCCTCTATTCATTAAGGGAATGTAATTATATATCTATCCTAACCATTTTGAATGCACAGATACAAAATGGACATTCATCTGTATCCCCTTTTTTGTTTAGTTCTGTTATTTGAATATTATAGGTGTGTTAACTCGCAAAATATACTAAAAGAGCCCAGTAGTCCATAATAGTATTGGGTCTTCCACTTCACTGGCAATGTCAGAAATTGTTGACCTGAGTCCCCTACAGCTCAACATAACAGCATGGCTTTACTTCTTATAGTTTGTTTTTATGCTTTTCTCCTGAATGGTTAAGACCAAGATAAAGCAAGATCTATGCAACAAGAGTTGTAGCTTTTGGGTCTGATAAGGTCAGTGAAATCCCCTCAGGATTTTTCCTGAGATCCTGTACCTCAGATTGTAGATCTTTTGTCAGTGTCAGCCATGTGGATGAGTCACGGCCATTGCTTGGCCAATGTGCTCTCTGTGAAAGCCTGAGAGAATATTTTCTCTCCATGTGACTCTCCTTAGGCACACTCTACATCATTGATCACTTTCCTCTTTGGCTCCATAATCTCCTTGATCAGAAAATTTGGGACACTACTGAGTTACATGATGTTACAGTACAAGAAGGGGCCTGATTTTTTAAAAGATTTTTTTTTTATTTTATGAATTTGGTTGTTGTAGGGTCTCATTTTGCAGCTCAAACTCGTGGTGATCCTCCTGCTTTCAGCACTGGGATTACAGGCATGTGCCACTATGGCTAGCTCAGCCCACCCTGGGGGTGGGGCTGGCCCAGCAAGTGGTGCTGGAGGTCCAACCAAATCGTGGTCCCTGAGCTGGCCTAAGCAAGCGTAAGCAGGTGCTTCAGTCTGCTGAGCTATCTTACTGGCCCCCCAAAATTCTTTATATGTTCTAGATAGAAGTCCTTTGTCTGAGGGACAGTCAACTTAAAATTTTTTCCCAATTCATGGGTTTTATTTTCACTGATTTCTTTTGACATGTAGAAACTTTTCAAAAAGATGAGATCCTAGTTGATTCTTTGAAGTATTTCCTGTGAATGTTGCACTTTGTTTGTGAACTCTGCCTACCCCTACATCTTCAAGATTTCTACTTTTCTCCCCTAGTAGATTTACTGTTTCTAATATTTAAAGGGGCTGGGAAGATGGCTCAGTACAATAAGCACTTGCCTCACAAGTGCAAGGGTCTGAGTTCAATCTCTGGTTTAAAAAAAAATTAAATCTTTGATCCATTTTTACTTTAGTTGTGCACATGGTCTACACCTATAGACATGGGTCTAGTTTAATCTTGGCATGTGGAAGGCCAGTTTTTCTAGCACTACAAAGAGGTGCACATGGATTTTGAATTCTCCCAAAGGCCCAGGTGTTAACCCCAGCGCAGTGGCTGGGAGCCTCGGCAGGGTCTTCATGTTGAATGGGACTCTTTATTTTTTTTTTAAATATTTATTTATATTTATTACATTTATTTAGTGTGTGTGTGTGTGTGTGTGTGTGTGTGGCCAGCTCAGCCCACCAGGGGGCGGGGCTGGCTGGCATGTGGTGCTGGAGGATTGAACCGAGGTCCCTGTGCTTTGCCAAACTTGTTTCAAGTAGGTGCTTTAGACCACTGAGCCATCTCTCCAGCCCCTGAATGGGACTCTTTAGGGGACTTGTGGGACCCAGTCTCTTCCCTTCAGCCTCCTGGCCATGGAGAATACTGCTCTGAAGCCCACTCTCCCCAGACTTTCAGGCACCCTCACCAGGCACCCAAAACCATGGCTTCACTGGGTTGTAGACTGGACCCTCCAAAACTGTGAGTGCAGATAAACCTTTTCTCCCTGTAAATGAATTCTCAGGTGCTTTGTTAATAGTGCTGAAAAGCTGACTCATGCACTGGGTCTGTCAAGTTCTTGGGGCTCTGAGTTCGGTGACTATAAACTCCTACCATTAAACCATGCTATACACATAGCTGAATCATGTCCTGCCTGTCCCTCTGACAGCCTTCAAGTCAGGAGGAATTCTTCCCAAATGTAAAATGATCAAATCGCAGTTTCAGCAGGTTCTGTTGCAGCCTCCGGTGACTGTAATGTGACCTGAGGGTTTCCTATGCCCCCACCTGCCTCCGGGCCACTCTACTCACCCGCCACCATAGTCTAGTGATGCTGTTTGGCAGTCCTCACTCCCTGTCCCTAGCCACATGCCCCATGTGGAACACGTAATAACCCTCGCTGCTGGCAGCTCAGCCTTCTTTCAGGGTGGATTTGGTGCACAGCAGCCCCACGTCTGGTGAGCAAGAAGCTGAGTCTCCCACTGGGCTGCGGGCCGCTTACACCCACACGAGGAGGGGTCTGTGACCTCCTGGTGTTCTAAGAGGTTCTTTTCTGAAAGCTATTGCTAAAGGGAAGTGGCACAAGTGTTCTCAAGCAAGGACTTCATGAGAAACCATGTGGCCCAAAAGCCACAGCTTCCTATAGCCAGGCCCCTGTAGCTTCTTGTTTGGAATCTGTCACTGGATACCCTATCTATCTACTACTTACCCTTCTGATGGAAGCTGAGTTCCATGTTTAAAGGCTTTTCTGATCTCATGTATAAGATTGAAGGCAATTTTCTTAGTCACTGGGAAATAGCATACTACAAAGCATTAAATGCTCCCAATTGCCCATGGGGCTGGGCAGGAGCAAGAGAGTACCGGGGCTGCCCTGAGAAGGCCAGCTCGCCCGTCCCAGCGCAGGGAGCCAAGTCAGGTGCTGGCCTCGGACCACTGCTCCTCTCTCCACATACTTTCAAGATGAGCCAGGAAATGATTCCACTGGCTAAAATGGTGAAAGCGAAGGGCGCAGTACACAAAGCCTGTCTCTCATTCGGGTGAGCATCGTTTGCTCCATTTGGAGCAGACCACAAAGGAAAAGCAGAGAGTGGCAGGAGACCACAGGGCCACCTCCACCGCACATCTTTTTTTTTTTTTAATGGTACTGGGATTGAATGCAGGACGCTGTGCTTGGCAGGCAAGCTCCTTATTCTACTGAGCTATCTCCCCAGCCCTCCACCTCACATCTTAATGTGGCTGGAGAGAGCAGCCATCTCGCAGGTAAGTGGAACCTCAGCCAGCATCTGGGTGGGAGCCCTAGAAGTGCCCCCCACATACAGGGTGGCATCATCGGGCTCCTGGCATGGAGACAAAGGAGCTCAGTCAGAGGTGGGTCCAACCCTGGCCTAGAAAGTGAAGCCCAGAAGTGACCTGTCTGGCTCTCCAGTTAGCAAAAGGGCTGGGACACTATCCTCGCCAGGTGCCACCAGCTACCAAGGAGCCACCTGATGAGGGGAAGAGAGAAAAGAGGAGGTGGGCTAAGGGTGGAACAGTGGGGAGCCCTTCACGCCCAAGGCCCCCAAATAGGACAGGACTGGCTCTCCCAGGAGAGGCCCAAGGGAGAAGGGGCAGAGGGATATAGATAAATTTATTAGTTAAATACTGATTTTACAGCCATTTCACCTTAAGACAATGTTAACAGGTTTGTGGGTTAGGGAGGCACAGGAGGGAGGCCTTTAGGGAGAAAAACGGTGTAAATGATGATTAAAACAGAATTTTGCTTCAAAGATATTCTCTGCTACGGCCAGTAAGGCTCAGGGGCAGGGCCAGGTGTTTGGGGAAGGATGAAGTAATGCCACAGTCAGCTACAGCTCTGTGGCAACAGGGTTAAGGGAGAAGTCCTCCTGAGCCCAGTGCAGGCCACACGAAGACCACTCCAGGGGAGGCGCAAGCCGCACTCATGTCCCCTCAGTGCCCACACTGGTCTCTTTCTTTCCATGAGCTTCGCTTTGTTGTTTGCTTGCTTTCTGATTTACCTTGCAAAGTCTAGCGTGCCAGCCCAGGCCCCAGGAGACAGAGGCTTGGGGGCAGAAAGGCAGGCAGGAAGGAGTCCTCCTTGGAGCAGGACCGTGCCCACTCAGTGCCCCTCCAGAGGAGGTTGAGCACAGCTGAGCAGCCGCCAAAGCTGCCTTAGCAGGAGAGGGGTTTGCTGCTCCTCTGGACTCTCTGGCTGTGTGTGATGGCTGAACAGAGGAGGAGCTGGGGGCGGGCTGAGGGTGCTGTCCAGGCACTCACTGACTTCTTTTTTGCATGGGGGTTTTCACGTCAGAGGTCCTGGGGTGTGGAGGAAGGAGGCCTCCACCAGGAAGAGATGAGGAGGCCCTGCCGAGTAGTGCTTGGATGGTGCTAGCCCAGGCAGTGGCTAACGGCCCAGGAAGCAATCGGGTGTCGCACCCAGGAATCTTGGAGTCGGATCTGGTATTGGAGGGTGCAAGGATGCACGCGCCTCAGGGAGTGTTGGGTGAGGGCAGGGACTGCCAAAGCGGCTGTCATCCCATGCAACAGTGGCAGAGGCCCTCTGCTGGCTGCAGGGGTCCCAGGGCACTGCCCTGCCAGCACTGGTGCTGGGGACACAGTGGAGGGAGGCAGGGGCGGATGACATCCTGTCCCAGTCAGGGTGGAAACAGGAAAGAAGTCTTCATGTAGGCCCCGCTCCATGTCAGGGGCTTCTCCTTCTAGTGCCCGCTCCGAAGGCGCCTGAGGAAATCCAGCCTCCACTTCCCCAAGCCATCACTGGCTTCAAGTTCTTCCCAGCTGTTCCAGAGTCACTCCCAGACAGAGGGTGACCCAGGGGACCCCCAGGTCCCAGGTCCGTGCAGGAACTTGAGGATAGGGGAGGATTATGCAGTGATTATGTCCCCGTGACTGTCAGCCAAGACCAGGCTGTTCCAAGAGTCCTGCTTGGAGCTGGCCTGCGGCGACTGGCTGACAGGAGACGCATAGCCTTGCGGGGACAGCTTCAGGGCGGACAGGACAGGGTGCATGGAGGGCCCATGGCCAGACACAGCACTGACCGCGAATGTCTGAAAGGCAGAAAGCATGATGAGGACGGGGACGCTTGGGGACTACCTCCCCCACCGTCTTCCTGAGGGGTCTTGCCCCAGGCGAGGGGGTGGGCGCTTCTCTCTGGTGTCCTCATCCCCTCAATCTGAGCCTGACAGAAGCAGGCCATGAGCCAATGGGCTTATGAATGTCATGGTTTTGGAAGGCTCGGGCGGTCATCCGAGACACTCTACAGTCTCAGCAGCTCCATTCAAGAAGGAGCTGTTCTCCCTGCCCAGGGTGGGAGTGATCTAAGGAACCAGGTTTACCCTGACAAGAAAAGTGCCCTAGGACATGGCCTCTCTTGATTCAGGATGGAAAGCCATTGGGGCTGCGTCCAGTAAAAGGACAGTGTGACAACCTGATTGCCAAAGAGGGAGGGAAGCAGGGCTGCCACCACATGTGCAACAGGGACATGGCCACTTCCGGCCACCTGCATGACAATGGCATCCTGCCTGTCACATTGTCAGCCTACCTGCACTCTGCATTTCTAAGCTTGAGCTCATGCCAGTAGGGTCCTCTTCCTGCCACCTGTGAGATCCACAAGGGCAAGGCAAGCCACCTCGCTGTGATGGCTCTGCACCCACACCTGACACGGGGTGTGGCTGTGCTGTCTGTCTCCCCTCCACCTGGGTGCCAGACCCTGTGCCTCTTCTCCTCACCCAGAACGCTGCATGGCACAGAGGCGCTGGCTGCTAGATGTGTATCCCCCCAGTGTCCCACTTAGACCTGCTGAAGGCAACTCAGAGGCTGGGCCCAGCGACCCCAGAGCTGGAAGCCACTTCCGCTGTGGCCCTGTTGCCCACCTGCGGGCGCACCTGGGACATGGAGCTGCTGTGCCCGTAGTGAGAGGACAGGCCGGGCTCTGTCTTGATGGGGCGCATCTCCTCACTGCTGCTGCTGGTGGCATTGCTGGAGCTGCTGGAAGCGCTGCTGGTGGGCGGAAGGCTCTCGCTGCCCGAAGGACCTGGGACAAGGCAGAGTCAGGACACCCAGCCCAGTGACAGGGATGTGGGGAAGGGGTCCTTGGAGACAGTGGGGTACAGACCCGGCTAAGGGCTCTCTTTACATTTGCTGGGAAGAAGAGTAAGGCCTCATCAGTGCAGGCAACAGTTCTCAAAACCTGGCAGAAATGTCCAAATTCCAAGGGGGCTGTCACCAAGGACGGGCTCGTAGCCCCCTCGGCTCTGATCCCTGGAGCACACCTGTCTCAGGATTCAAATGGGCAAACACTGTACATTAGAGGACCTGTGGAGCCACCTGAGACACCCTCCAACAAGATAAAATATTCTCACATCCATAGCAGAAGGTGGACGTGCTCCGGGTAGGCAGAGATTATGAATGGCCTGGAGTCTGTTCACAAGAGGTTCTGCCACCAAAGCTTGCTTCCTGGACTTGGGGTGTTGGGTAGGGGGCTGTGTGGCTCAGCAAGTGTCTGCTGTGCCTGGCACTGCCACCAGGAGGTCTGTGGCTACCCCAGGAGCTGGCTGCACAGATAGGAAGTGGGGACACAGGAAGGTGGGAAGAAAGCCCTGGTAATCAAAGCCCTGCCAGAGAGAGCAAGCCCTGGTGGAATCTGGAAGAGGAGCGCTTTGGTCATGCCCTGGTCCTGGGCAATGGGCAGCTGAGCTGAGACTCATGTGCATTCACAGGAGATAGGTAAATGACCTATCAATTGGCCAATTGATTTGCTTTGCCAGTCAGTGCCTTAATTTGGCAGCAGCAGGGCCGGGGAGATGGCTCAGTGGAATAAGCGCTTCCCTGGCAAGCGCAAGGGCCTGAGTTCAATCCCCGGTTCCACCA